TGAGTGGATGGCCTGAGCCCGCGGGTTCGAGACCCGCCTGGGCAACTTGGCGAGACTGCATCTCTGCAATAAATCAAAAATCAGCCGGGCGTGGTAGCGCGTGCCTGTAGTTCCAGCTACTTGGAAGGCTGAAGCGGAAGGATCGCCGGAGCCCAGCAGGTCGAGGCTGCGGTGGCCGGGTGTGGCCACTGCACTCCAGTCTGGGTGACAGAATGAGACTCCAACTCAAAGAAAAACAACTGCAGTTTACCCACATCCCTGTAAGTTTCAACTAAAAATCAGAAAAGAAAATGGGCTTTCAGCTAATCAGATGAGGTCCAGATGATAAAATGGCAGCATGTGCTCACTGTGGAAGCTGTGTAACGGGCAGAGAGGAGCAGATTTCCTTGACTTCTGATGATGATTTTTGCCATCATGTGAGTGCGTGGGTGCGTGTGCGCGCATACACACACACACACACACCCTCACACTCAGCATGGTTGAGCTCCCAAGCAGGTTAAACCACCGTCCTAGGCATTTCTGCCCACCAGAGTCAGGGCTGGCGGACAAGATTGGGGTGCTGGCACACAGTGGGGTGTCTGGCCTGCTCTTCTGGAATCCCGGGCCAGACACCCAAAGCCCTGGGTCTTCCTTCAGAAGGGCCCCCACACTCCTGTGAAGAGCTGGCGTCACCCTTGATGAAGTCACTGCCGGGGCTCACCCACTAGCACGCCAACGCCCCCCTCCCCGTGGCTCCCTGCCCCGGCCCCTCCCTGGACAATATGAACCAAACTGTGGTCGGGACCGGCGGGGTGTGGCTTCGGTTCTGCGTGGAGACAGTTTAGACACTTTCTAACACCACAGGCAGGTATGGTGGCTCACGCCTGTAATCCCAGCCATCTGGGAGGCTGAGGCCGGGGGATTGCTTGAGGCCTGAGACGCAGCCTGGGCAGCACAGTGAGACCTTGTCTCTGCAAAAAGCTAAAGAAGTAGCCCGGCCAGGAGGCGGGCACCTGTAGCCCCAGCTAATCAGGAGGGTGAGGAGGGAAGATTGCTTGAGCCCAGGGTGTCGGGCTGTGGTGAGCTGTGATCAAACCACCGCACTCCAACCTGGGCCACAGAGCAGGACCCCAGCTCCAAAGCAAACACAGAAAAACTCGAAAGAAAGAAAGAAAGAAAAATAAAACACCCAGGACGCCAAGGGAGGAAGGAGCTGCAGGACCGAAGAGGGAGGCGGGTTCTGAAGCTCAGGCGAGGGCGAGGAACAAGGGTCGCAGTTGCCCTGACCCAGACCGCCCTCTGGAAGCACACGCGTGGGTTCCAGCCCTGGACTTCCTTCCGACGCAGCGGGAGACGCCGCAAACACCCACAGTGGGGCTCCAGCGGACCGGACAGCGGGACCCCACTCTGCCGGTCGGAAGCGGGGCGGCACGAGGGAGGATGGACAGTCTGCAGAGGAGGGGGCTTTGCGGCGGCGGCCCCGCCAAGCACCCGGGTCTCTGGGCTCCCGGGCCACTGCGCCCGGGCCTGGACCCCTGGTGGTGCCTCTTCCCGTGCCCACACCTGCCCTGGCCTCGGGCAGGGCCGACCCCGGAAAGCCCACACCGAGGACTCAGATCCCAGGCAGAGCCTTCGGATTTGCATTCGGGAAACCCCGCAGGGATGGGAGCCCTCTTCCCGGTCTACCACCCACCCCGGCAGCACCCTGCCCTGGTCCCCAGGGGTCGGAGCACGCTCCGGGTCGGCAGCGGGGAGGGGAAGGAGAGGGCCGGACCCAGGCCTGAGGTCTGAGGGGCACGGGGAAGGCGTGCCCCTGGCCGGCCCAGCTGTCCAGCAGGTTGTAGGCACCGTCGGCGCACGGGCACCCCCGACGCCCACACCCACAGCAGAATGCAGGGCAGGCAGCAGAATGCAGTACAGGTCGGGGCAGGGCACTCCTTCCAGGGGCACACATGGGAAGGCAATGACCCTGACGACAGCGGCTTCCCTCCCTCGGGCCGCTGGCGCCCCCACCCCCTCAGCCCCCCTCCAGTGCAGCAGGGGCGAGCCCAGTGGCCTGGGAGGCAACAGCCAGGACGGAGCACAGCTGGGCCACCCGGGAAGGGCCGCGAGGGCCGGGGTCCTTCCGCTGCTCCCCAGACAGGGAGCCCGTCCTCCCTCCTCACCTGGGCCAGGCATCTGCCGCTCCCTCCACCGCAGGAACTGAGCCTTGGCCCAGCACCTCGGAGCCTTGCCAGGGAGCCAGTCGGGGAGCGTTCCCCTGCCCCCTCCGTGTCCCCGCTGGAGCTTGCACTCGTCCCTCTCTCCTGAGAGGACAGGCTGGATGGATGGCAGGCACAGAGGGTGGCCCGGGGCCAAGGGCGCCCTGACCCAGTAGCAGCCATCCCGAAAGGAGCCCAACTTGAGACAGGGTCAGAGCCTCCAGGACACAGGGGGCCCAGCCGGGGACTTGGGTGCAGCTGCTGCCGGGACATAGGGCCAGAAAGGCCCGAGGACAGGCCCTGCCCTCTCAGAGCTGCGCCGAGGTGGGTGGGGCTGAGCCCAGGTGTGGCTCTGTCTCAGGACCCGGCCAGGCCCCTCAGCAGTGCCCCCTCCCCAGGCGAAGTTGCAGCACCATTGTGACACATGCACTTTATTGACCGCCACTGTAGAAAAGTGTGTGAGTACAAACTGCTGTAGAAGGGGCCGAGGCAGTGGGAAGAGAACGGAAGGTCGGGCGCATGGGCTGGCGATGATGAACTCCACGTGGCCTCACAGTCTACTGAAACACCACGAAGATCAAGACCGGAACGAGGATGACACCAATGGTCCCAAGGATGCCCAGGATCAGGGCCCAGATGTTCAGGCACTTGGCGGTGGAGGCGTAGGCCTGGGCCCCGGTCACGTCGCCCACCATCTTCCTGTCCCTAGACTGGGGAGACAGAGGGAGCCGGTGAGGGGACCGGCAGAGGCTCAGAGGAGAGCCAGGTCCTGTGACCCAGGGACCCTGGCTCCTCCCCAACCTGCTCCTCCCCCCACCCTTCCCAGAGATTCGGAACCACTCCTCCCTTCCTCACACTCTGGACTCTCCCGCAGCCTCAGGGCTCATCCTCCCTCCTCCCTGGCTCACCCCACCCTGGGGACGTCCCCTGGGTTCCTTTGCACTTTCTGAGAGGGCCTGGGGTGCCACGGTCTGTCCGGTCACTTCTGGTTTGGGGCTGCTGGGGTACCAGGCTGAGCCACCGAGTCCGGCCTTGCTCTGATCCTTATCCTTGTTCTTCTACAAGTAAGGTGCTTTGGCTCTGATTTTGCTGTCCTAGTCTGGCTTTTTTCATTATTTCTGCCCTTTGAGCATGCCCTACCTAAGTGTGGGGTTCTTTTCTTCATGAAATATCTCATTGGTAATGCCCTTTCCCTTAAAGTCTACATTGTTGAGCAATGATGTCGACGGACCAGCTCCCTTTTGGTTAATGTTTCTGCGGGTATCATTTTCTTTTCTTCTTTTTTCTTTGACCCAGTCAGCCCCATGCACACTCTTCCGGGTCCCGCCCTGGGGGAGCCCCGAGCCCCCACCTAGGTCTACACACACGCAGAGGAGGGCACACCAGGAGAGGAGACACGCCAACTCTCACACACAAGATCACACAGCCTCACCCCGGCCGCCCTGGGCCGGTGGAGCTGCCCGGCTCACAGGCACCTTCCCGGACGCCCCCAGGGGCCCAGACGCACCTTCACGGAGTAGGCGAAGGCGATGAAGCCCAGACAGCAGACGTTCAGGAAGATGGTGTTGAACAGGGACCAGACGATGTGGTCCCGCACGGGGGTCTCGCTGTGGATGTGGACCACGGTGGACGTCGCGCCGGGCTCTTCCTTGCTCATGTCTCAGCTTGGAGGCAGCCGGTGCTTCTGCGAGGGACAAAGGTGTGGGAAGTGCGGTTCCCCACTGCAGATATGCCGGCTGTGGAGCGAGGGCGGGATGCTGGTGGATGGTCCTCTTTAGAGCCTGGCCTCCTTATCAGCGCCTCCTTTCTTCCTGGACTCAGTAGTTCTGCTTTCTGGGAAGGTAGTTTTCTGGTGTGTTAATTTGTGAATTGCTGAGGGGCAGGGGGCGGGGGGAGCAAATTCCCGAGTGTGAAGTTACACCAGTACCAGATGGAGGAAGCGCTGATGGCTAAGCGGACTTCCTGTCTACCCACTCCAGGCAGGACGGGTCTCAGCTCACCCCAATCTCCCTTTCGGGGGTTTGGGTGGGCTCTGGGACTTTCCCGCCGGGAGACTCCCCAACCCAGGCCTCGGGCTACAAGACCTCACTGTCCCATGCAGGACCGGCCCGGCCCCCCAGGGGCCTTCACACCCAGTCCCCGAGGGACCCACCCAAAGCCCACACCTCTCCTGTCTTAGAACTTCTCTGCTGAAATCCACGAGGGACCCACCCAAAGCCCACACCTCCCCTGTCTTAGAACTTCTCTGCTGAAATCCACGGCCCTTTCCAGGCCTGGGGCCCCTGCTCCAGATGGGGTGGGGGCCCTATACCTCTCCGTGTCACCTGGCGCAGGTCGGAGACCTAGCGGCCAACGGTGCCTGCCCCAAAGTGCCCTTCCAGGCTCAGGAACGGGGACTGTGGGGCTCGCTTCCTGGAGTGGAGGCTGTCAGGGGAGGCCGGAAGATTCCAGGACCTGTGGCAGTTCCTTGGGTCTCAGGGAGATGTGTTTGTGCAGCCCCACCTTCCTTCCTTCCTCCCACCGGCCCCACTGTGCTATGAAAGGCCGCAGAAGTTAAGGGGAGCACGAGAGGCCCCTGGACCTAGCACTGCAGCCGGTGGCCTAGGCAGGGCGTAAGGGCCCCATTAGCCAACGGCTTCCTTGAATTGCAGGCTTCCTCTTCCTCAATACTCCACAAGCTAGGTGGTGAAATCTGAGCCGAGTGAGGACGTTACCTGGAGCCCAGCAGGTGAATCAAAAACAACTCTCAGCTGGGCTCGGTGGCTCAGCCTGTAATCCCTCGCCTTTGGGAGGCTGAGGTGAGTG